GGTGTAGAAGAGGTTATTATTACTTTTTGTCGGTGATCTTGTAATCTGAGAAATAATTTTTGTATGTTATTTTGATATTCTAAAATTAATATTGCTCAGCTTTACATGTTAGAATATGGTAGTTGACTTTGTGCAGTTGGTAATGTTCAACCCAACTCCAACCCCAACGTAACTCTGATCCAATGGAAACAGGCAAGGCAACTTAACTCTAACCCGACTCTAACCCGACTCTGACCCGATTTGGACCCTCGATGGAAACGTAGTCATAGGGAAAGACATAAAAATACGACCATTCAGTCACTTAATCTAAACGCGCCTTAACATCCTTCAGTTTTGTTTATATACTTCTTTGTCACACTTTAGTTAATGATTGACAGATGTACGAGGAAAATGGAAGATCGCGCATTTGTTTAAGGTTATACAATATTATTTTATTGTTCAATTTGTTTTCAATTCAGGTAATTATTCCTGAAAAAAGTATCAGTTTTGTTAGCAGATAAGAATTCATATGTAGAAAACTGTCCAATACGGCACAAAATTTGTTGCCAAAATGAGTAAGATGTATACAACCGCTAATCTCTCCGACAAGGAGTTGAAGGAACAAGGAAATCGACTTTTCAATCTTCACAAATATGAGGATGCTGCGTACTGCTACACCAAAGCAATTGTGAGTGTCACTATGAACATATGCAGGCAAGTTACGACACTGCATCTTATTCCTGCAGATTAAAAATCCAACCCAAGCATTATACTTCACGAACCGGGCATTGTGTAACCTAAAATTAAAACGATGGGAATCGTCCTGTCAAGACTGCAGACGGGCTCTCGATATTGATCCATGTCTGGTAAAAGGTCATTTTTTTTTGGGTCTTGCTCTTCTTGAAATGGAACTTTTTGGTGAGGCTGTTAAACATTTACAAAGAGGTATGTATCCACATCTTTAGTTAGGAATTATAGATTTCTGATTATGATTAGAGATGGGATCAAGTTTTATATGTACTCATAAGTCCAATGCAAAAGTTCAACTTTATGTTTCAAACACTAATCGGCAGAGACTGTTTTGTTCTACATTTTTGCATAGTACTCAGGTCATACAAACTGCTTCAGAATCTTCAAATGAGTACTGGTAGAAATCAAGAATGTACTTATAAATATTGTATAACATGAAAGAATATAATGTAATAAAAATAGTACTCAAAGTCTAAAAAACAAAATTCTAAAGATACATTTAATATAATTCAATATTATAAACAGATCTGTATGAGCAGTATACAAGGAAAGATAAAAGAGTAACAAAGTGTTTATAAAAGGTTTGAATATATTGGGTCAAGGTTTACTTATACTTGAAAGTCTTGTATTTTTTTAAGTACTTATAAAAGATTTGAACCTGTCTTGTCAAGGTCTGAGTATACTTGCAAGTGCAGTGCAGTCTCATTAACTGGACTTGTAGCCTGCAGACACAGAAAATTATAGGTGGGACCAGTTAAATTTGGCTCCATCCACTACTGATAATGAATACAATTTATCAGCCGAATGTGATTATAAAAATCTCTCATACACTATAGTGGTGGTAAAGTACCATTAGAGAGCAAGAAAATTTACATGAAAAGAACTTAGGAAAAACTCATATGGGTAAATACTAGTTAGTGAGATTTCACTGTATCATTTTTCATCTTTTAAGTACTTGTGAACTATTTAAAACCATTCAGTTAAATTTAAACCTGTTTGCAATATATTTGGATCCCAACACTAATTATGATACATCTTTTGAAGAAATAAAGCTGTAGGTAATATTTTATCATTGTTTGAATCATTTTTATGAAAATACTATAAATTCTATAAACATTTCAGTTATGTTTAATCTTAATAGAATAATTATATATATTTAATTTAATATTAGAGAATTTGCATTTTTTAAGAACTGTAATATTTGTATTTATTGATGTCCACAATTAGTAGTTCCATGATATGCCTTTTTCCTATTGTATTAAAACATGACTACATAAAAATGTTTTGTAAATATTCTTTTTTGTGATATTTATGGTTTTTACACGAATGTGAAACTTGCCCTTCACGTGGTTATATATCTCAATCATAATGGGATAGCTGTGGATTTGGCTAAGGAACAAAAGTTAAACTATGGTGATGATATGACCAGTATTTTAAGGCAAGCACGAAAACGTCTCTTTCAATTAAGAGAAGAACAGAGGATTGCTCAAGATATTGAACTGCAATCATATTTAAACCAGTTAATAGTAGAAGATGCTGAACGAAGCTTGGCTGCTTTAAAAGAACAAGAAACGACAAAAGAAACAAATGGTAAATCTGAAGGCGAAGGTGTGTCCAATGAATTTACAAGAAAGAAAGAAGAAATAGAAGAGAAAAGGGACACGTGTATGGCTCAGCTTAATGACTTGTTTGCGAAAGTAGATGAAAGAAGAAGGGTAAGTTTATAGTTTTGAATTTTAGAAGTGATACTTCAACCACATTATAAATGAAAATAATTGTTTTATTTGTGGTTTTTATGAAAATATTTAATAGAAAAGGGAAGTACCTGATTATTTGTGTGGAAAGATTAGTTTTGAAATTTTACAAGAGCCTGTAATTACGCCAAGTGGAATTACATATGAACGAAAAGATATTGAAGAGCATTTGCAAAGGGTGGGACATTTTGATCCAGTTACTAGAGTTCGCTTAACTCAAGATCAGTTAATCCCCAACTTAGCAATGAAGGAAGTAGTTGACACATTTCTTCAAGAAAATGAATGGGCATTATATTATTAACATGTACATTTAGATTACTGCCATATTTTTATGATAATTATACATGCAATGGTTTCTTTGTTTTGTTAATTTATACAAATGTGCATATCATTACCTTACAGTGAATAGAACATGTGTCTGTACAAAATTCAGTTTATTTCTATTATTGAGTATAATTAGTTTATTATAATTTGAACGATTATTAAGCCATTTAACAGACGTAATAATAATGTTATTAATAAATCCAACTTTCTTTTATAAGTGTTTCTTAAATTGTGAGCGAATATTAATGTTAAATATTGAAAATAGCACACAATACTCTTAAATGGGTTGTTAGCAAGTATGAATCGTACAAGAATATTACAATTGTATATCGTTTTTTCATATAGATGATAAATAAATTTATTTTATGGTGTATAAAGAATTTATTATTTTCCAACTATTTATAAAGTTATTTGAAGGGAGAAAATAAAAACAATTTATTGAAAATATAAACGGTTTAATAAAATGTATTAATAAAATTACATAATCCTAATATATCATTTTATTATATTATGTACAAACAAGGAAAGCAACTTAAGTTTTCCCTTCCGATTTCGACGAAACTTCGTACGTTTGTTAAGCAGGAAAAAATAAGGGACACGTATTTTTTTTATTAGTTAAGCTTTTATTGAAGTAGCTTCGTCAACACTACGACGATAATGCTTGTTGCAAGAATTTAATAATAAAGCTGTTTTGTTTCGGCCGATAAAAAAATTACGTGTCCCTTATTCTTGCCTGCTTCACAAATATACGAAATTTCGTCAAAATCGGAAGGGGCACTTCCGTGCCTTTCCTTGTCAGTCCTTTAACAAATACTTTCTGTACAAATAAATTATATACATTTATTTAAATATAAAATTAACGTATATTAAGTCAAAAATTTACATGTTAAAAGATTAAATTAATAAATTGAATGCTATGAAGTGACAAAATTTAATGCAACCATAGCAATAATTCCAGCTACAATGGGCGGCATATAATACTGATAAAAAGCAGGATGATATGCTGCTCCCATTGAAAGTACAATCCAACCAACAAAATATAATATCCTAGACAATATCTTAGATCGAATTCCATCATTAGAAGGAATTTGTACCCACCCTAATGTGCTGCATGCTACTAGAATTACCCAACTTTTAAGTAACAAAGGATCTTCAGTAGAAAGTCTCATATCATAACTGAAATAAATGTATAAAATGTTAATTAAAATGATTTAATATCTTATTTTTTAAGTAAGTATAAATATATAATGTAAGGATGTATTACAAACCTGAAATTTTTTGCCCAAACAAGTACAGATGGTACTGCTGGAATTGCAACAAAGCACCAAAGTATGAAGAAAATAAGATGGTTAAATATTTTCTGTCTTGTATTCTCTTGTTCTTCAGGATTATTTTTCGCATTTCTAAATGGCCGTATCCAATTAAAATGTTGTAATGAAGCCATTAATAATTCTTCCAAATAATCTTCGTACATTTTTGTTAAATTTAGAAAATATAAGAAAACTGAAATTATCATAGCTAAGGCTCCACAAGTTGCTGGTACTAAGGATAAAACAAGAATCGTGGTAATAAATGGTAACTGATTTAATCCACCAAGTAGCCAATCTGACCATGTTGTTGAGAAAGCTATTGCGCGTGCTAGAAATCTAAACAAAATTTGAAAATTGAAATTAATTTAAATAATGTAAAATTTAACATATATATACTAATATAACTAAATTTTCTTACCTGACAGCAATACTATGTGCCACTGATCCGAGGAATATAACAGAACAACATAATCCAATAATAAATACACAAATAATAGCCATAGAAACTAAAGATTCAAATATTAAATTATAGTAAAATGAGAAGAATATTGTAATCAGCACTATTGGAATTTGTTCGTTATCATGATTAGTTTTGATTGATAAAAATATTAGGAGCAGACTAATAATTGTTGTATATAGTAGATACCAACGATCTCTTACAATACAAGATATTTTATCTATAATACCACTTTCTTGAATATTAATTGTATATAGACATGCAGGATCTAATGTTATTCTCAGATTTGCAGATACATTAGAAGTATCATGTCTAGTTTGAATTTTCAGTGTTTTCGGTCCGTCATCGCTAAACATTAGAAATTTTCAAAATTCATAATTTCTGTCTTATCAATTACGGGTTAACTGGATTTAGATATACTTACATAACAGTGAAAAATTGAATTTGTGTAACTCCAACACTCCATGGTTCCAATAATTCAACTATTGCATGATGTTTTGGATCTGTACATTCAGATGCTTTAAGTTCAACTGCTATAGCACTTATATCATTAAAAGTGGCATAGTATCTAATATGTCCAGAATCAGTCTTCGTCATTCGACGTTTTACAAGTAATTTGTTTAAGATAGATAATTCACTTTTAATAGGTATAACTCTTGTATCATAAGAATATAAGTCAACATTTACTGCTACAAAATTGTCTAGATCCTCTGGAGTAATTCTTACTATAATGTGTGTCACACCAGGATATTTTATTTCTTGAAAATTTAAATCAACAGTTTTTCTTAAACGATGTAAAGGATCTACCGAAATTCTTGTTTTATTTGTTAAGTTCCAACCCCAATTGCTAAACAGAATACTTATTTTAGTATTATGATAAATTTATAATATAATAAAAAACGTAAAAAAATATTATTACCAAACTCTTGATTGTCCTTCTATAATAGATGCTGTGCACACAAATAACCAATCTTTAGATTCTAAATTTATAGTGTCAATAGTCAAATGATCTGGTTCATCTCTCAATCTAATCATAAGATAAATAGAAGATGTCTTTTTAGATAAATTTTTGTTAGTCCATGTATACTGTTTCCGAATATCTTCTATCCATTCACCACCAGGTTTAAATTGTATCATATCTTCATAAATATATAATCTTTTGCCAGCAGTATGCTGTAAAAATAGTTAAGAAATCAGAAGAAAGTTTTCATATGTAAAAAAAAGTTAGAAAGGTTTCTTACATGATGAAAATGATATGATAAAGCTTGCATTCTTTCTTCAGGCTTAGAGAAAATTTGTGGAGGTTTTTGAAAATAATTCACAGAATCAAATAATGAACGCACAATAGAAAACACTAATTGTTTGCACCAAAGAATACACAGGTGATCTGTAGATTTCCAAACACTTGGTATAGCTGGAGACAGAATATTAATATCTGCTGCAGAATCTACAATTTGTGTTGAAGGCACAAGTAGATCTCGTGGTCCTCCTCCTATTGATACTACACTTGTTCCTGCATCTTTTATTTCGCTTAAGCGACTGTTTAATTTATGGTAATAACTAGCAAAAGTACTATCTAATACTAACACAGGAGTATGAGGTGTAGCCAAAGTAATAATAATACTTGCAACACTAGCATTTAAATTTGGGGTCAATAATAGAGAACCTTTAGCTATAATACCTCCCTGGAAAAATAAAATGTAGTTATATTTCTGTTAAAGTAAATATTCTTATATATATTTACCATTGAATGTCCAATAAGTATAATCTTCTCTACATTGGTTTTGTATAAACTTAAAATTTTTTTTATACAGTGCGAAACATATAATGTTTCTTCCATTAGTACACCTTAAATTAATAAATAATTGATTATTTTGTATTTTAATAACAAAAATACATAATAAATTTAGGAGAAATAAATTGAAAAGAATAATCTTTTCACATTATATTTGATATTTTGATATCTTAAATAAATTACCTCCATATAAAGCAGAATACTCTTTGCCAAATGAAACTGTGAAGTAGTCAAAATGAAATGGAGTTCTATCTTTTAAACTTTTCCTTAAACTCACAGAAGCAAGGGATCTTACTAAAAGCAAGAGAATGATGTTTAATATTTAATACTTAAAATATTATTAGAGTTATTATAAAGTGATTATTAGATTATAAAAACCTTGCTGGTGAGATCCAGCATTGCCTGGTACAAAAAGAACTGGTATTCCTGTGAAATACATTCTTCTAAGTTTTTCTGTAATGAAACCTTCTCCATATGCGTACAATCCATATCTTTGATATTGTTCTTCTAGTTTGTCATCCAAGGATATTCTCTAATATTAACAATTATAATTTCTTTAATATTTAATCAAACTATTATTATAAAATTTCTTTAGTTTATAGCCTATTCATAAATTCATTGTTAATACATTCATACTTTAATTCAAGAATTTTATGTTGAGTTTACGTACCACATACTGTGGATATTCAAACATGTATGTCATATCACAAGTATTTTCTTCAAAATCCGTAACATAACGAGCAGCTCCAAGTATGTACAATAGTAGAAATAACATTAAAAATGAAAATAATGTAGTATAAATAAATACAGATTTAATTCGAATCATTTTCTGGCTTCAAATAAGGCAAATTTCATAAAATTGTATTAAAAATGTTCATTATTTCTCTAGCTCAAAAATTGGCTTAAAAAAGAAATTTCACTATGTCATAATTTAAAATAATAACATAAAATTAAAAAGAGAACTGACTGATAAGAAGAATCATATTTTAATTACAAGGTTAAAATACTATAGTTTTGAGTGCGACTAAAATATCACTGCGCAATCTCGTCATTGTTCTTATTATAAAACAAGCTTATAGTAAAACTAATAATATAGCATTAATAATTATTGCACGTCAGTTTTATATATTTCAAAAATTTGGAAATACTGGGTACTTTGACTATTTTATATATACAAGAGTATTTAAATGTTAAGGGGATTGTATATCAATTTAAACAATTCAAATGTACATTATTAAACATTAATTTATGAGATATTAAAGTTACTCTTTGAATTATTTAATAATTTAATTGTACGCTAACGAGCATGCTCAGTTCCGCATCTTATTCACTGAGTCTATCATGAGTGCGAGAAAAACGATAATACTGGCGGCAAATATATCCATCCTTTCTTTACAAACGATTAAGATAGGAAAAGGTAACAGATTTCCGATATTTCATTGATAAGAAGGAGCGGCGAATATTATACCTAAGTATAGGGATTGTACATTCGAGAGCAAAAGTTTCTCTAGGGAAAATGGCGGCAAAAAGTCACCATCATTCAGTGTAGCACAAGATTTGAGAGGCCGACAGTAGCGGCAGGCTGATAGGACAGATTCAGAACAGTCAATCGTCAATAAGGTAGGAAATGACATTAAAATAATACAAAATTTCTTTCGAGTCGTCAAAAATGTTATTGCGGATGTTTTCTTTTGAAAAACGGCGCTTGTTTGCAAAATTTAGTCGGAATCGGAACATCACGGTATTTCGAAGTTCCGACAAAAATTGATAGTGGTTTTATGAAGTCAAAACATTCCGTAGTTAATTATTCTTGCTTTCTGATGTAATTTGATGTATATTGACGTTAATTAAGCCAATAAAATCAATATTAATTGAATTTTTCGAAAATGGAACAAGTGGCGCCATCTCTTCTGTGAACAGGGTGAACTACACACTTTTGAAACTGTAGTTTCATTAGTTCCGACTTTCTACCGGTAGACGGCGCGAAATGTATTGTTTCGGTTCAATTCGATTATTATAGTTGAATTTATTAGCTTGATTGACAATATGAATTGAATTACATCGGAGTGCAAGACCAATTAAAATCGAATTCTTTTGACTTTATCAAACCATTATCAATTTTTAACCATTCGTAGGTTAATTCTTATTAGCTTAAGGGTTTCTGTCTTATATGGCGCCATCCGGCGGTAGAAGATGAGAACTAATTAAACTACAGTTTCAAAAGTGCGTAGTTCACCCTGATCGCCGGAGAGATGGCGCCACTTGTTCCATTAAAAAATATCAATTAATATCGATTTTATTGGCTTTGAAAAATAGCTTTATCTTCAAAAGTTGTTTTTAGACAGTAATGAAACTTCCAAAATACTTGTAACCTTTTAAATTAATTACTTTACAATAAACTACTATTTCGAAAAACAGGAGTTACTCAACAATTCCTATTTACGTTTATGCTTTAATCAACAATCATGTTATTAATGATTTATGTAATTACTTTATTGAATTACTAAATCAAATTTTATGTAAATTGCATAATTAATAATTACATAAAACCACTTCTTATTACGAACCATTATATTTAAATATATAAATATTATTGCATAATATGTATAGGTATATAGTATATACCATGCACATTCATATATGCAATCTACAATAAAAAGTACGAACTAATTTTCATCTTTGAAATCAATTTTCACTCGAAATATTTGTATACACAAATCAACGTATAAATATTTTTCAACAAATTTGTAAATCTGAATCGTATAAAAGAAGAAAAATAAAACGTCGATTGTAAAGAAAGGGAAGGCTTGCTTATTGTCCGAAAGGTAGCGAGGCGTGATTCAGCAGATCATTTGCAGAGTTAACCAAGCCTGCGACATGATTTACCAGGCATAGAACCAGTATCCATAATGTATGCCTTCCTTTCTGTGGACATAATTGTATACGATATTACCCGAGGGAGCACGGTTCTTCCCGGTAACAAGGCATACCATCAACTCTCAAGGAAACCCCCATAAAGCATCCTCCACGTGGTTTTCGTTTCCACATGTTATTTCCTAGCGCGCCGCGAGATCGAGCCTTCGTTCCGCTTTTTTCGTGTCCACTTATTATCATGCTCTCTAAAGTGAGCTTTTCATCCCTTCGAGTTAAGCTCTTCTTTTCTAATGCCCAATTACAGGACTATTTTAACCCCTACATAATTTTGCATTTTATTCATTTTCTATTCTTTTTATACTTGATTAACATTTGTTAGTAGTGTTTAGAGTCGTGTAGAATTTTTGGAATATTTATTAAAATTACTATAGAGAAATTTGATATGCAACTCTGATATTTTTTATGTGAAATTTCATTTGACACTCGGTTTTTGTTTATCTTTGTTTTAAGCCTTTGTGGGGTACTTTAGGTTTACATTTTAGTGATATTTTTATTAATGACAAAATTTATTTATTAAGATGGTAGCATGTCAACGTATTGTCATGATACAATATTGGCATATCAATATGTTTAAACATATCAATATGTAGTATGGCAGTGTATTAATACATACATATGTATATCATCATGTCAGTGTGCCAAAATATGAACGTATAGCATATCAGTACGTTGGTATTAACATACAGTATAACAGCATATCAGTATGTCAGCATGTCAGCATATCAGCATGTCAATATGTTAGTATGTCAGCATGTTAATATGTTAATATGTTAACATGCTAATATGCTAACATGCTAATATGTTAATATGCTAATATGCTAATATGCTAATATGCTAATATGCTAATATGCTAATATGCTAATATGCTAATATGTTAATATGTTAATATGTTAATATGTTAATATGTTAATATGCTAACATGCTAACATGCTAACATGCTAACATGTTAACATGCTAATATGCTAATATGCTAATATGCTAATATGCTAATATGCTAATATGCTAATATGCTAATATGTTAATATGTTAATATGTTAATATGTTAATATGTTAATATGTTAACACGTCAGTGTACATTGACATGTTAGTTCATCAGCATATAGCATGTCAGCATGTCAATGTATCAGCACATCAAAAATGTTAGTACATCTACTCGTTAGCATATCAACATACATATACATAATATACATAGTATGCCAACATATAGCGTGAAGTCAGTACAATAACAGAATAAAAAATTAAAGTAAAGAATACCAGACAATTTTACTCGTATAAAATTTTTTTATTTTAATTTTCTTTTCAATTTAGCCTTATCCCCCTTCGCGTCTTACCAAATGCCCTCCATTGTTACCGTTCGTTTTCCCAGAGTCGAAGAAGGTTCGTCGAAGGAAGTTTTTCTCCGAACGAAAAGTCGAATTACTTTCTCGCAGATACAATACTCCGCTCTTTTCGTTCACAACCCATAATAGGAGGGTCGCTTTTATTAATGCACGAGAGGGGGGCACGTAAGCTGCTTACCTCCTGCAATTAAAATGTTTCTTTAAATACCCGGCTTGTCGACTTTATTGTAGACGACAGAAAGTTGTGTTTAAATCCTTGCTCGTTATACTAGTAGTCGATACGTGCCTTTACGGCAACACAGTTAAAAAACATCGCTTCCTTTTCCCGCGTAATACCTTTCATCTTCCATATTGCGGATCAAAAGTCAACGATTATTTCTGCCTTTATTTCGTATTGTACTGAACGAGTTAGCGTTTGAGAATGTAGAGAAAGGTTTAACAGATTCGATTGGTTACTTCATAGAGTAGTATTACACAATCTGGCTTGAAAGTATCAAGTCACTTAACCACCTGCTTTATAATATCTCACACGTGACGCAACTGCTGAGGTATAAATTTGACTCACATTCTTACCAGAATTGAGTTTCAAGTTTAATATTAGTTACAACCTGTCCACCAATAATCCGTACCCAAAATGTACCTAACATTTGAACATTCTTAGCCTGTCTTAATATTACAATAATAATTAAGCCTTTTTGTCTGACACACTTGCTGAAGAGATTATAGGTTAAGGTTAAATACAATAGTTGAAAAATAGCATATTCGATTCTAGGTTAAATAAGTGTATAGATGGTTGTCTTAGTGAAATATATAATATTACATGATTGGGTCTGAAAATGTTACGGCAGCGTCCTTGGTTAAATATCATGATTAAAAAATAATACATTCGATTCTAGGCTAAGTAAGTGTATAGATGGTTGTCTTAGTGAAATATGTAATATTACATGATTGGGTCTGAAAGTGTTACGGCAGTGTCATTGGTTAAATATCATGATTAAAAAATAATACATTCGATATTAGGTTAAATAAGTGTATAGATGTTTGCTTTAGTGAAATGTGTAATATTACATGGTTGGGTCCGAAAGTGTTAAGTGTCACTTCCTATAAAAATTGCAAAGTAACATGATCAATTCTAAAACAGCACGTGTCACCTGTGAGACCACGTGTCACACGTGACAAGATCCAAACAGTCACCTCTTTGCGTAATATTACTCAGTCGGGTCTGAAAGAGTGCGCAGCCTCATACAAGAATGTAACTTATACAGCCCTAATAATCTGACTTCAAAATACAAGTGTTGCTTTCATAAAAGTTATACAATAAAATTAGATTTTGACTGAAAATTAAAAAGGACAATTCAGGTGGTTCCCCATCCAGCAATCCTCTCTTACAAATACTTTCGGTTAGCAGGGGGTGGGGTCCTTTATGGCACGTGAACGTGTATCGTCGGGACGTGAGGTAGTTACGGGAAAAATCGGTGCGAGAAAACCCACTCGTACTTGTAGATTCCTCCCGAGAGGAAAACGGCGTCTATGCTCGCGAAGCCAATTTGCCGGAACATTAGCCGCAGACGGTGTTTCTTCTATGGTGCCTATTATTGACATTGCCTGTTCACCATCGACTATGTAATCGATAGTAGCTTCCTCCGATTGTATCTTCAGGATTGGATATACTTTTTCATTCTTAGACAGTATCCATTTAGATAGTTGTGACAAACTGGAACATAATCTAACCTGAAAAAACTGAGGTTATGATACGACAATCATTCTAGCTAGGTTTTTTATTAAGGCTCTGTCAGGTGGTTAAAAATGTCCTCAAACGTCCTGAATCTCTTTCTCTGATTGAGGAGCTCTATAATATAACCTAACCTCAAAAAAGAGAGGTTATGATACGACAATCACTCTAGCAAGGTTTTAAACTAAAGTTTTGTTAGGTGGTTAAAAATGTCCTCAAACGTCCTGAATCTTTTCCTCTGATTGAGAAGCTTGGTAATATAACCTAACTTCAAAAGAACTAATAACTTATTACTTCGGATAATTACCCTATAGCAAGGTCGACAATTAAAACCCTATCAAGTGGCAAAAAATGTCCTCAAACATCCTCAATCTCTTCCTCTAATCACTTTTTTTATATTTTCAAAATTTGAAAAAGAAAAATTAGAAAAATTTGGTAAAAGTATGATTCGAGTTTGATTAAATGTACGATCAAGGTTGGATATTTTATCAGGTGTTTTGGGGGAGCCTGTAATGGGGACACGTACGTAAGATGAAAAGACGATCGAGTTTTCCCTATCTGTTTGCCAGTGTGCGTATAAGAATGGCACGTAAGTACCATATGTGGTGAAAATCTGAAATTTTGCTGACGATCGTCCGGGGACTACGGAGATGTATCCGTTAAGGATTTCTGCTCATTGGAGCGTCCTTACGTAGAAGGCGGGGGAGTTCCCTGAGGATTTCACAGCAGGGATATATCCAACGACCAAGATTACAACGTGCATTCTACTGTATACCAGTAATTGAAAAGGATTTGTTTTCTTCTGGGTAATCTGCCGCAGATTTGTATTCGTTATGCTTCCTCGGCTATCTTGGAATATACACGTAAACGAATAAATTCTATCTTTTTTATCTGGGTAACATATTTGATGTGATTCTACTAGAAAAAGCAGGGTACAATACGTTTAGTGTTATACTTTCTTTAATTACGTTTATGTTATACTTTCAAATTCGTTGATTTGAATTTGAATATTTTCCCGCGCTTTTGTAAGTCAGGGATGCAGTAAGAGATATTTAATTGAAAAACAAGGAAGTTTTAGGTTTAATTTCATATTTACTTAAGTACTATTTTGAATTTGCATATTTTCCCGCGCTTTTCTGAATTTCAAATGCTGCAAGATATATTTAACTGAACAGGAACAATATTAGGTTTAACGTTATATTATTTTAATTGTTAATTTAAATTAAGATATTTATGCACATTTAAAAAGTTACTTATAACACAATGTTATCGTTTACAATGATAATTATTTTAATATCTGAAATTGTTATAATTGTTTATTGATAATTTTTTAATTAACAAAATAAGGTACCCAGGTAATTTGTATATTCAATATAATTCTTTGAATCATAACCTAAAATTAGAATAATTTGGGTTAGACTTAAATTAGGTTAGGTTACACTTAAATGAAGTCCAGATTAGGTTAAGCTTGAGTTAGGTTAGGTCTGACATATATTAGTCACAACGTAAATGTTAGGTTAGATTAGATTCAAGTAACATTATGTTTAGATTAGGTTAGTTTTAAATTATGACTATTTCTGTGTTAAAAAAAAGTACAATTAAAAGCTACATTATTGAATATTGTTATTTATTTGCAGAAATAATATTTTATAATAAAATTTCTTTATAAACGTTCAGTAACAAGGTTAAACAAGAAAATAAAGAAGACAATGTCTGGATACACCAGTGATCAGGATCTTTTTATTGTTATCAGGATTACACATAGTGTTTCCGCATGCTGCCGTCTATTTGTTACACTTCTCGCACACAATCTACGCGTTGTTTCTTACAGCTGTACTTGTTACATCGTTCTACGATAAAAAGCAGAAGAAATTTGTCGCTCGAGATGTCGCTCAAAAATTTCATTGGCACCCTACGTCATCCTCCATACAGATCTATTAATTAATCTACGTATCGTCGTTAGTATATGCAGAACATTTCGCGTATCAAACTGCAGCCATTCATTGAACAAGTTAATCAAACTCTGCACTAGTGTGTCGAAGTAACGTATTCGAGTCCTCTGTACATTATAATTACTAGGGAATTAAATAAATAAGAAACGAGAGCATAGAACGCGATATGGGGAAGGTTTGGGGCGGGCGTGGGCACGAAAATGCTCATTGGGCTGCCCTGTAGTTGGGACCGTTGAGATTTGGACGTTTTGGTATTTGGGAATTTAAGGATTTCGTGTTTTGCGAATTTGGGGATTTAGTGATTTAGGAATTTAGGGACTGGGAAATTTGGGGGACTTAGGAATTTTGGGACTTACGAGTGTTGGGACTTAGGAATTTGGAGACTTAGGAATTTGTTTTGGAATTTGGGAATTTTGGGAATTGGGAGTTTTGGGACTTAGGAGTTTTGGGACTTAGGAGTTTTGAGACTTAGAAATTTGGGGACTTAGGAATTTTGGGACTTAGGAGTTTTGGGACTTAGGAGTTTTGGGACTTAGGAGTTTTGGGACTTAGGAGTTTTGGGACTTAGGAGTTTTGGGACTTAGGAGTTTTGGGACTTAGGAGTTTTGGGACTTAGGAGTTTTGGGACTTAGGAGTTTTGGGACTTAGGAGTTTTGGGACTTAGGAGTTTTGGGACTTAGGAGTTTTGGGACTTAGGAGTTTTGGGACTTAGGAGTTTTGGGACTTAGGAGTTTTGGGACTTAGGAGTTTTGGGACTTAGGAGTTTTGGGACTTAGGAGTTTTGGGACTTAGGAGTTTTGGGACTTAGGAGTTTTGGGACTTAGGAGTTTTGGGACTTAGGAGTTTTGGGACTTAGGAGTTTTGGGACTTAGGAGTTTTGGGACTTAGGAGTTTTGGAACTTAGGAGTTTTAGGACTTGGAAATTTGGGGATTTAGTAATCTAGAAATTTAGATATTTGGGAATTTGGGAATTTGGGAATTTGAGAATTTGAGAATTCAGAAATTTAGGGATTTGGGGATTTGGCGATTTATGGATTTGGATATTTGAGAATTTAGGAATTTATGGAATTAGAAAATTAGGGATTTGGAAATTTCGTAATTTAAAACCTTTCGAATCTGAAATTGTAATCCCAAAAACCCAAATAGTGGGATACATCCCTATGTTTGTCCTCCACCTACGCCATGCTCACTCCCGGGCACTCCATCGAATTCCTCAGCCCATTAGAGCCCCGACATTGCCCACGTTTGCCCCAAAGCTACCACATGAATCTCTCCTTCTTCTACGTTATTAACCATTCACCACACTAATGCAGAGTTAATAATCAGAAAGATTATATTGCACAGCATGTCGACTCGCAATACCACTAATAATTGCAAGTAGACTAATTGTTACAATTTAAAGGGCCTTAACGAAAATAAACGGTATCCTTAATGGAATTAAATAGAACAAGTATGTTTTGCTAAAAATTAACTTTCTATCACTGTATTCAAAGTTTATTCCCGCCATTTACAAGCCTATGATAATTTTCATAAGTTTCATTACAAAGTAGCGTGGGTGCAATTTTCTATGTGCATGAAACGTAATGATTATACATATATCTTCATTGGAAATACAAGTTTTGAGCTTCTTGTGAAATTTTAGTTTGAGTTTCTTTTAATTTCACATTCGCTGGGTGTTATAGAACTGGATGTATTGGTTTAGTTTCGCGTGTGATTCAGGTATCTTGGCTACACTGTGTACAAGGTGTACCATATTATGTGGACTTAACCTCAATCATGCTAAAACAAGTTAAATTTTTAATTATTATAGGTTAAAATTGACTAGAGATTAGTATCATAGTGTATTATTGAATATTATGCATAAATACTACTTTAAATTGAAAGTTTTAACGTGTTTTTAGACAATATTGTACTGTTACTGATGGCATCACGTGTTTAGTAACAGTTATACTAAAAGCGCGCGAAATTTAAATTGCGTTCGCGCAAAATCTGTTTAAAACTTAACAAAAAGTAAAAATGTAAATTATAATATTCTTTATGCATTATATTGTAGGTTTATTATTATACAATATCGATGGTAATCATTTACATGGTTTTGAGAGATCACTATGTTAAAAACGCGCGAAATTCAAACCCCGTTTTCTCAAAATTCGTAAAAATGTAAAAGAAACTTAGAATAAAAGAGTCACGGCACTTTTCAAGCATATATAATAAATTTTTATTAAGTATTATTGATGGCAATTAGTTATTCGGCTTTGTGAGTAACCATCACACTAAAAACGCGCGGAATTCAAACTTCGTTTTATGCAAATTCTTCCAAATTCTAAAAGAAATTAAGAATTCGAAGTTATGATATTTTTCACAAATATATTATACTCTTTCAGTACGTATTATTAATAATAATCGTTTACGATCTGTTAAATAACCACCATACCAAAACCGCGCGAAATTCAAATCGTTTCTCCCAAATTCTTCTCAGTTTCAAAAATAAATTAAAAATAACTGCGTAAAACGATGTTATAATTAATAAAGCGAATAAATTACGTCCACATAGCATGGTACAGTCCTATAATGATTTCAAAAGATCATTGTGTTTCGACGTAATTGGTATTGAACGAGTCCGTGATGAATACGAAGACCCCTAATTTACAGTGTCTTTTTTGAATTACATTCTACCCCTTTCTCTCACTTCCAACTTCGCTATCTTCTTTCCTTTTTCTACCACCGCCAGCTCCCCTGTCCCCCGGTGCGCCCTCTCCCCTCCAATCGTGTCGATTAATTAGTGGACGCAGACGGGCTATGGATTTGACCGTAAAATATTCCTCGTGGATGGCAAGCGGAACAATTCGAGCTTGTTCTCTCCGTCGGTTCGTTTCCTGCAATCATCAATTGTTGAAAATTAACAAAATTCCGGGACGAGTTGGCCTGGCGAATCAAAGGAGGCAAACAAAATCGAAAAACCGTTTCATTTATTTATTCATTTCAAATAGAATTGCCAATGAATCGACCAACAAAATATTGAAAATGTTGATTGAGAGATTGAGGATCAAAAAGATGAATCGTGTTCTTTGATATCAATTAATGAAAGCTTTTTCGAGTTTTTCCTTTTTATCGCGAGATAAAAATGATGTACTAGCTTCGTTTGCAATATTATTTCTCTTTCATGAGGTTTTTATATCGATTCCGAGGAAAACTTTCAAATGAAGCCGCAGGTATTTACTTTGCGATTGGTGCATTTGCGTTAAAAAGTTAGGTTAGGTCACTTTGATCAGTTAAAAAATTATTATATTTTTCAGATGTTGTTTCTAGTTGAGAAACATAAATTTTTCTTTGTCTACTTTTGTTTAAGAGCATGGCAAGATTCATAATTTTCTTAGTTTCTTGTTCGGTTGAAAAATAACAAAATGGTGGCAGGTTTCTTGTGTTTCTACAAAATGGCGTTCTACTGAAAAATTCTACGTCTTGTTAAAAATACTTACAATTAATATTTCATCGCTGTTTAGTTATTAAAAAATAGAAACACTATACTATTTTACAGATTATGTTTTATAGGGCCATTTTTATTTCTTAACAAAAAATATACTACTGAAATTTTTTAATTAAAATCTGTAATTAAAGCAACGTTTTTGAAAACTAGAAACAAATTGTCAAAAGTATAGTATTTGTTAAATTATCAACATAGAATAAATTAGGTTAAATAAATAAAATGGCTTTTGCATTTAACTAAAATTAAATTAAGCTAGTCTAAATTAATTTAGTTTATGTCAGTTTATTTAGGTTAAGTATCCAAGGTTATTAAGTAACAAGTTAGGTTAATAACCTAACCTAGTAGTAACCCATCTTAACTTTTTGAATTGTAACTCACCTCAAAAAGTGGATGTTTAATTACATTATGTTAAATAATTGAAATAAACAATTTTACCATTTGTTTACATTAAACTTTGATATAACTTGGTTTTTGTAACTTAAAAATTTGTAAAAATTATGTGATATATTTTGGAATAATTATTCCAAGAAATTTGTGAAAAATTTCCACAGATTTCCATCACTGAAATACAACCTCCAGTTTGTCAATAATTTGAAGAAAAATAAATTGCCACAAATTAAACGTCAACCGACAAACAACTTTTTGAGTAAGGTATATTATAGAAAACGAAGTTATAATAAATAATGAAAGGATTAAAAGCAAGCGGAACGTTTTGATCGTGCCATTCTTGAATTCTGAAGGGAAAAGCGCAAGCGTCGTGGAAATCACGCCTCCTCGTCGGGAGGAGTTCAACCCTCAACCCCTTTGGCTGTTATTACGGTCTCCAAGATCCACCCCCTCTATTTGGACGTTGAGAGGGAACCCTCCGTTTTCACTTAACACTACGGACGCGACTAATTATTCTAATTAATCGAAACTCCGATCTTCCTCGTGAACCACTTGGTGCCGTGCTAATTACCAATTACTAATATTAGGAAGCCATAGTCGTGGAACGTCGGGGGAGATTAAGCACCGACTGAACGATATTTACCATTTCCAGCGATACGGCAAACTAATGGTAATTATTTCACAGAATTTCATCGGATAACTAGTTGATTCTTCGTTGTCCGCGGATTGATTCCTCGAAGATGTTGAAACTTTCGTATTAAGAGGAAATTATTTGTGTCTGTTTCTGGGAAATGTGTTCATTTTCTGTACGGGAGTTAATGTAAACTTTTGAAGTTTTAGTTAAGCTTTTCAATGTTGTGCAGAAATTTGTGTGCATAATTTTAATCTTACTTAATTTAATTTTACGTAATTTAAGCTATGTTTTCATTGCGAGGTTATAAAATACTTAAAGCTTGTATGCATTTATATAATTTACATTAACCTAACCTGAACTTAATATATTGTGACTTATACTCAAGTAACCAAACTTATCTTGAAACTAATTTAACCTTACTTATTTTGAATTTAACGCAACGATAAATTGCTTTGAGTCTAACCTAACCTAAATTAATTTGAATCTATCTTACACAAACACAATTTGAATTAAAATAACCTAATTTAACCTGAAAGTAATGAACCTAACTTATCTTGAATTTAATTTAATATAACTGAACATAAGCGTAGCTCAACTTAATTTAAACACAACTTCATTGAAATTTACTTCAATACAATATAACATAACTTAAACATAATCCATCAATTGCCTCACTGTTGTTCACCTAACCTATCTGTACTTTTCATTCATATTAAAGTTTTCATTTACAATAATGTGATTTTTAAATTGTTCTTAAAATCGTAAAGTAATGTTCAAATTTTAAAGATCACCTTTTAAATTATTTTTAAGTGATTCTTTTGAATGTTATGTTTGTGGAGAATATGTAAGAATAATAATAATATTTTTGTGTTTACAAAAGAAATTTTACAGCAATTTTAGAGATAAAGTTGTCAGGTAAAGCTGTTATATTTTAACATACCCTTTATTGCATTCAGATGTCGATAGAAGTTATTTCCTTGCCAGCTTCCGGGACTCCTTGCAGGTTGAAGTTCCGGTTTGGTGTCGCGTATGGCTGCTGCTTCCTCCGCAATTTTTTCAGCTTCTCGTTCCTGAAACAGAAAGTTTTAAAACTTTGTTAAATTTATTTGTACAGTGTATAATTACCTAAATTAGACTCAGTTTACATGGCCTCAAATAATCAAGACTCTACATTTCTTTAACTATGAAAATAGCCGAATAAATTTTTTGTAGAGTTACTACTAATTTGTCTAAATTTAGTATTTCGTATTTTTATAATTCTTTAGTATCTTACAATTTTATAACTATTTGGTACTTTCTTTAAATTGTATGTAGTACTTTATAATTTTATAATTGTCTAGCATTTCACAATTTCATAATTACCTAGTATTTTGTAATTTCATAATTGTCTAGCATTTTATAATTTTACAATTCCCTAACATTCTATAATTCTATAATTGCCTAGCATTTTATAATTTCATAATTATCTAGTATTTTATTATTTCATAATTGTCTAGCACTTTACAGTTTCATAATTATCTAGTATTTTGTAATTTCATAATTGTCTAGCATTTCATAATTTTACAATTGCCTAACATTCTTTAATTCTATAATTGTCTAGCATTTTATAATTTCATAATTATCTAGTATTTTATTATTTCATAATTGCCTAACATTCTATAATTTCATAATTGCCTAACATTTTACAATTTTATAATTATCTAGTATTTTGTAATGTCATAATTGTCTACCATTTTATAATTTCATAACTGATTAGCATTTTATAATTGTATAATTATGTAGTATTTTATGATTTTATAATTATGTAGCATTTTATAATTTTACAATTGCCTAACATTTTATAATTTCATAATTATCTAGCATTTTACAATTTCATAATTATCTAGTATTTTGTAATTCCATAATTGTCCAGCATTTTACAATTTCATAATTATCTAGTATTTTATTATTTCATAATTGTCTAGCATTTTACAGTTTCATAATTATCTAGTATTTTGTAATTTTATAGTTGTCTAGCATTTTATAATTTCCTAATTGACTAGTATTTTATAATTGTATAATTATGTAGTATTTTATGATTTTATAATTATCTATCATTTTATAATTTTACAATTGCCTAACATTCTATAATTCTATAATTGTCTAGCATTTTACAATTTCACAATTATCCATTATTATATAATAATTGTCCAACTATGTACCACATTCTAAAATTATTTAAAAAATATATTCCACACGAATACCGCTTCACATTTAATCATAAATAGTTAATAGTTCGTCATCAAAGAAACGTTTATAAAGGCAACCGCAACATCTGTGCACATCACGTCCAACAGATATAATAATCTCTCTTCTTCTATTGTTTCGACCCTCTGCATCTAGTCCGAGATCTATCATTCAGACAATTCGCCCTGGGGAGCGTACGTCTATGGGGCAGTGAAAAAGTTGAAATATCGGTACACGTACTCGAGACTTATCATCTTACAGAACGAAATTTTATTTATTTCGTGTTTTGGTTCCGCGGCATACGGGCCTCAAATATCTACAGTGCACCACGACGAATCGATCTTTCACGATTTTCGCCGATCCAACGAGGTTGCACGGATATTATGAGCAACATATGTGCCGATTGCATGGGGTATCTTCCATCGAACACCTGCTCTTGTTCGGTAAATGTGTTCCCATTATACCCTCTTATCGGTTTTGACATCGTATACATAGTTATTTTTCTATCATTGCATCGGATATGGTCGTAAGTTCCAGGGACGTATCTATTGGAGGAGTTTTTTATGAGGCCTTAACATGACAGATTTATTTCTATTTTCAAGATTAATAAAGATAAACCATAGAGTAGATATAACAAGAGGCGACACTAGACAAGGAAACCTAGAGAGAGACAGCACTAATTTAAATGCCCAAATCAAAAGAATCGGGGGTGCGCATGCGCATAGTGTAGAAGTATGGCGGTCAAAAAAGAATAGTTTAAACCTGCATATTCACCAGTAATTTATTTGTAATAAATATTTTGTCATATCTCTGTAACACATTCATCTATAATTTCTTGTGATATATATTTTTTCATTTTCTTAGAAGTTATTTGTAATAATCATTTCCGTAATACATATTCTTCAAATATATTTTGTAGAGCAATCATTTTTATCCTTTTCTTTTTCAACTTTCCAACGGCGTAAAATTGATGAAAATACCTCAAAAGACAATATTATATACAGAAAATTTATTACAAATATATTCCAAATTATTGGAGATTGATACGAAAGTAGATTTGCTCGATTTAAATTTCCCGCTCGTTTGTACAACCAATTTAAAGGGGCAGACTAAGTTATATAATTATTGTTATACAAGTAACTATATTGCCCTATTGTTTAATACGATGACCCATACGACGTTGAAAGGCAGCATTTAATTAAACTTTTTAATACCATTCTGTGCCGCCTGTTCGATGCTAATGGCCTGCGACGAGCAAGACGCCGATCAAATTTTCATGGTGTTTGGGATTCCAAGTAATTACGTTTTGTGTACAGAGGAGCTTGACGAAAAGCGCTGGGGGCCTAAGAGGGTAGGTTTATCTATTGTGAAATAATTCAACGAGTCGAAACATTAGAAGGGGTAGATTTTAATCGATAGACATACGGTTCCATATATACTTAACGACTTTTCTTTCCTATCTTTTATATTTTTAATTTATATTTGCAAAAATATTCTCATTTTTTTCCTTTTAAATTCTATTTAAGTTCTAAATACGTGTATCATAAATTTCATCACAAAATTTTATTGCAAACTGACTGGTTTATATAGAGACGTTTCGCTATTTAACAACCGACACTTTGAGGCCGATAGCTAACCATTTTGTGTTACGAATATTGATGAAACGTTTACGTAGTCTTTTTCTTTAGACTTCAAGCTTTACATTCATGTACTATAAGTGGTATTTTGCAATACTTTTCTGTTATGAAATTATGTCAGATGTTAATTACTTAATAGAGTATATTTTATTACAACAACAGATGTTGCTATCAAGCTAACTATTCATTTCGCATTAAGAGTATCGATGAAACGTTTAGACAGTCTCTTTTGCTGAACTTTAAGCTTCAAATTGATGTATCATAACTGTCATGTTACATCATTTTTATGTCATTAAATTATATAAAGCTGCGTATGTTTTAAAATACATACATGGCTTCATGTAATATTATCAATCAATCATTTTGTATTAAGAATATTAAAAAGCGTTTATACGTTGATTCATATTAAACCAGAAGCTCTAAATTGATATATCATAGTCGTATTTTGAGATATTTTTCTCTCAAATCGTATCAGGCATTACTTATGTAACAAAATATATTTCACTGTTTATACGTAGTATGTTTTCCATTGCTTTGAGGCCGACGAACAACCAACTTACACTAGGTATCGTAATGAAATGCTTATACAGCCACTTTCCTTAGTCTTCAACCTTTAAAATGGTGTATCATAAGCACCACTTTACGATACTTTTCTGTTATAAAATCGTGTCAGAATCTTACTCTGTTATTAACCACTTAATACATAAAAATGTAATTGTTTTCATTACTGATTCGCCATTTTGTTTATGGAATATGTACGAAGAATTTATACTAAAATTTTCTTCAGACTTTACACTTTAAATTGACGTGTCAGAAGTGTAATTTTAAGAAACTTTTCTGTCATGAAATCATCTCTGATTTTCTACATTAAACAGATTTTTGTTTTACTTGTAAACTGTATTGCACTTACAAGTTTATTGGCACCAAGTTTTTAAATATATTATAAATTACCAGATAAATTTATACGAGAATTGTTTATAATTTCAATCGAAAGAATATCTTTCTTGTTGAACGTAAAGTGATGATTGTACGAATACTTTTTGTAATCGATAACAGTGAATGTCTGTGTGGTACACATTAATGGTGATATGAACGTCGTTAACAAACACCGGTGACCAATCTCTCGCGGGTAACAAAGTAAATGTAATCGGGGTGGCTTCCACCACGGCATTACGTGACAATGTAATCGTCCTACACCTAGCTTGAATATTTCATTAGTGCTCGATGGAGGCGTCACGCTTGCAATCGCTTTTACTCGACCCGGTATCTCGAATCGTGCATCTCCGCGATTACCTCGACATAACGTTTCGAACAACAATTTCAGCTTGGAATTAAACAAAATGATCCTAACCTTAATAGACATTCGGCAACAATTAATTCACTGTAACCATTGATTAACTTCTGGGAACTCGTTTGAAGGTATGAACAATCTGACATCACAAATAACTACGAACTTTTAGAACACTCGATGTAACTGATATTTCAAAATGAATAATAAAGCTGCAGTAAAAATTCATGAAAAGTTTATGAAAAATGCAATATAAACAACAATGAAAACTTAGTTATTGAAACATGTAATGTAATTTGCAGATATGAGATAAATATGACTGCATAATATATGTATAATACAGTGGCATATGTGTGATAAATAAATATACATGTTAATATGAGTGCAATACACAATAATGCATAATAAAGTGACAATAAAATAAATATGACTGTAAGATACAATATGTGTACAATATAATATCACAATAAAGTGAATTTCTCTATAATATAAATTTTTCTACTCTTTCAAAAGAGTATAACTACAACATAACCTCAAAATTTATGGATCATCTACATTTACAGTATTAATCCACATTTCACGCCATGTTTCATTAAATAATATTAAATAATAATATTAGATAATATTATTTAATAAATAAAATTAAATAATATATCATCAAAACCATTCAATTTTATTAAATAAATATTCTATCTTTTTACCGTACCACCATTTTGTAACATACATGTTTTGTAACACAGGTACACCCCTGGAAATCTTTAAATATGCATCCTCGCGTGTTACTTCCCTGTTACTTTTATTTTTCCTGAACTGTACCGTCACGAAACGTACAACAGCCTTGATGTACATACGCTGATTTTTAAATAATGCCCGACACGCGGCTGTTCCAGGGAATTGATTTAATCATCGAATCTTATCG